TCAGCTGAGGACAGGCCCCCAGACACCCAGTTTCCCGTCTGGTTCTCCCAACCTGCTGAGGAACTAGCACAAGCAAGGCGAGTGCCTCCAGAATGCTGAGTGAAACCTTTGCTAAATACACCAACAAAGCCGTCTTAGGGAAACTAAAGCATGAGGCGATTGTGAGGCAGAATTATAGCCCTGGAGGGGCAGGTGCCTGAGACAGGAGAGGACGGGGCAGTACCAACAGGGTAATTACATCGGCCAACCGCAGGCAGGAGGACCCCTCTCCCTGCTTCCCACTTTATCTCCGAGACAAAGAAGCTTTAGTGAAAGTAAGGGATGGGTGGGAACGGGGCCCCAGGGACTGGGAAACCACTGTTACGGGGACAGCCGATGCTGGCGGGAGGCGCACTTGCGTTAGACACAGACTGGGCGGCCCTGGCTGGGTGGCCCAGCTGGTTGGAGCGCCGTCCTGTGCACCAAAAGGTTGCTGGTTCGATTCCCAGTTGGGTGGCCGGGTATGGGAGGCAACTGATCAATGTTTCCCTCTTCCTCTCTCTTTAAAATCAAAACATACCCTCCGGTGAGGATGAAAGAAATAGCCGTGGTGAAAGCCGCAGTCACCACAGAGCCTGAGAAAATGTCCCAATTCCCTTGAGAGGGAGCAGCTCTGTTCTGGGATGTTGGGGGAGAGCACCTTATCTTTCAGTCCCTTTCTTTCTCCTCCTGTCGGGATGATAAAATGCCAGAGCAGGGCTCGGGGAGGAGGAGAGACCATTTAAGATGGTTTCTAGGACATCGTCGTGGATGGAGACGAGGAAGCTCCCGTGAGATTCCTGAGTGCAGCACTGAGGTAGGAAAGGCGCGGGGATCTGAGGTCGGAGGGCACGCTGCTGATGGAGCCCACGGTAAGAGGTGCCTCGGGAATCAGATGACGAGGTTGGGGCGAGGAGGCTGCTTCCCACCCGGCTCAGCTTGCAGTTACTGTTCCTCACCAGCACAGGGCAGCCAGCAGTAGCCCCACGGGGCACTGGACCACCGTGGGCCAGTCCCCGTTGGCCTTCCTGGCAGAAATACCAGGGAAGACAAGTTCCTGTCAACACACCTGTAATCGTCATGCCCCACATGACTTCTCTCAAGGAGTTCCTATCAGACACACCCTAATGACTGTCGTTGACCGTGAACCTGTACAGGCTCGGCGTGCAGACCACGGCATTTCCACTGTGCGGAGAGCTCCGTTGGAGGGGGCCAGCAGGAGACCTGGAAGCTGACCCGACGGCCCCTGCTGCCCACGCAGAACGGAAGCACGCCCCGCAGGGCGGGAGGCACTCCAGGTGCCTGCTTGCACAGTTGCTGCCCTGAAATGGGTCGATGGGACTTACAGATCATCTTTGTTCCGAAAACTATTTCAGGCCACTTTGTAAAAATGCACACAATGCAGCAAGTCGAGTCTTTTTAAAAAGTGGGTTTAGAAATCAGCACAAAGGGAACACAAGGGCAGGACAGGGAAGGCGAAACCGGGTGCAAAACCAGCCCAAGGAGCCCCTGCTGGGAGACAGACAAGGGCTGTTGGCTGGCAGAATATCAATGAGGCTTTCTGACCTTGAAGTCCAGTGAAGGCCAGAGACAGGTGGTGAATGCCCAGTTCTAGGGCAGGTGTTGGCCTTGGCATTTCCTTGCCCACGGTGTCCCAGCAAGGTGATTCCTGGAAAACACGAGAAGAGTTAGAACAGCATTCTTTGCAGGTCGCAAGGAAGTGTGAAGGGTTTCACGGAATCCGCGCCCAGCTGATGCGGGACCTCTGTCACTCACAGCCGGTCATGGCGTGTGCTCCGACAGCCCCGAGGGCAGGTGACTGTGTCGCAAGGGACTTTTCAGAGAGCTCTCTGTACTGCCCTGGAGTCTGCCTCCCCGTGACTTTTCACGGCGTGTCCTGATCAAGTTTGGGAGGCTGTGTGTTTGTGTGTGTGTCGAGGGGCTGCTATCAGCCAGGTGACTTTGGGGGTAGGTCAAAAAATGCACCCCCTGTGCCCCGTCCGAGCCACCAAGATATCTTGGACAAAGATATAATCTCTGGAGTTTGTAAATGTTACCTTATTTTGAAAATAAGACCCCCACAGATGTGATTATGGTAGGAATCTCAAGATCACCAGCTTATCCTGGGTCATCCAGCTGGGCCCTAACTGCCAGCCCAGATGTCCGTGAGGTGGTGCTGTGAAGGTGGGCGAGAGACTGATGTGGCCCCGAGCCAAGGACACACCCTAATCAGCCGCCACCGGAAGCCGGAAGAGGCCTGGGACATATTCCACTCGCGCCTCTGAAGGGTGCGTGGCTCTGCCGACACCTTGACTTTGGCCCAGGGAAAGTGACGGGACTACTGCCCTCCAGAACTGGGAGAGACTAAATTTGTTGTTTTAAACCCCCAAGCTTGTGACCATGTGTTACAGCATCCATGGGAAACTAACGGATTCCTAGGTGCCTTTATGTTCTCCCCCCTTAGCTCTGTGTCTGTGCCGTGACAGGACGTCATCGATCGATCTGCTGGCCGAACACGCTGACCCTCTCGGCACCCAGTCCTCGGGATACACGTCCAGCTGGCTCTTGGAGTCAACGTTAGTCCACAGGGATCTTCTAGGACTTAGTGAGTTAACGATGACAAAGCCCTTAAACCAGGGCCTGGCACAAAGTTACAGTATGCACAGATATTTGTTAAATAGGAATAAATAAGTCGAATCCTGTTTTGGGTACTGAGCTTCTTGCTTGTGTGATACTTTTCCTCAGCGGGCTCATCAGGATCCAGAGACCATGTTAAATTCAGTCTTGGGTTAAGAACATGTCCCTTTAGACTGTGTCCCTGATTTTGTAATGGAAGGACACGGTCAGACCTCGTGGTGAATACCAGAAAGACGCAACACAACTCCGAAGGGTCGCAGCTTCCCTCGGAGGGGAGAACGGAACCCACTGCGCATGTTCTTCCGCCGCTCGGTCCCTCGGAGACAAAGGACTGATATTTGAACCTGGTTTTAGTCCGTTAAGTTCTGTATTTACTTAAAGCTCTCTCGTCCTTTACTCCTAACTGTATTTGAAGAACAGGAAATTATCCCCTTTCTTTACACGGGAAAATAGACCCAAGGACCGCCCCCACCCCGCCTCCACCATTAGACCAGGAGTAGAGGCCAGGGTGTTAGTCCCGATTCTGTCCCTCTACGCTCCTGTGACCTTGAGCAAATCCCTTGATTCTAAGCTTCCGTTTCTTCATTTAAGACAGATTTAAAAATAGTTTAAAAATTTTTAGTCATTTTTGGTCTCATTTTGAAAATCTAAAAATATTCTTTTTTTGGCTCATGTGTACACCATGATGTTTTCCTCCGAATTTAGCTCAAAGGGCTTCAAAGGCTCTGACGGAGAGTCTTCCGACAAAAGGCCACTTGTTCGTCTCCTGTGCCCCGCTCACGTCCCTGCAGTGTGCTCGGAAGCCGAGTCCCTCTGGCTCTGGGCTCCGCTGCCAGCGCGGGCAGTCAGGATGGCCCCTGTGAGACCCGGCCGATGGCTGAGCACACGTGCCTCTCAGGAGAAGTGGGGACGTGGGAAAGGGATTTAATTGCTATGCCTTCAAGTGGATTTCCATATAAACTCCTTTTTCCCTTGTCATTGTTAGACAACATCTTGGTTTGGGGGCAGAGGGGTGACTTGGAAAACAGACATCGCTCTAAGCATTAGCATCGCCACCACCTACCTTACAACGTCCCCGTGTAACGGAGCAGTTCTGCAGTCTCAGAAACATAAACTTGTTTGAAAAGGGCAACACTTAAGAACTATAAAATGTACGTGGTGGCCATATGTGTTTTCCCTGTACAACCCTTTCGACGTTTGTACCTGAAGTGTTTCGTCTGCGTTGAGAACGCAGGGCCTCAGCCAGCAGAGGAGGAAGAGCTACATGGATGGGTGGGCAGTGGGAGAAGGGGCCACTTTCTCCAAGGACCGCCTGGCCACTGGGCGGCAGCCCCGCTGCGGTCTCCCTGCTCTCGCCCTTCCTGTTCTCGCTCCTGGGAGAGAGAGGAGAGAGCACTTTGAACAGAGTCGAGGATCAGAGCTGGGCCAGATCAGCTCACCACTGCTCTCCGACACCTCGCTGCCACCGAGGAAAGAGGTATCTAACACTCGATTTAAAAAAGTGAACAGACACCTCTATGGTGATCAGGAAAGACTGTGGATGCACGGAGCGTGCATTTATACGTGGGTGATGTGTTTCTCTTCACTAGTCTGAGTTGAGGATCAGAGATTTGAGAGTTATGATCCACGTAGGACATTTTATGTCAGTTGGCGACTCCTTGCTTTTCAGTTGGCTTTTCCTTTCATCTGAATGCCTGTGAGCCAGTGTCCCCGCTTGCACCTTCTCACACACAGGCTCTGTCTGGTGGTCAGCACCCCGTGGCTGCTCTGGGGTGCCAGCCCAACTGGCCGTGCTCTGTTTTCGCTTTGTCCTCAGGGTAAATGACCGCTCACGAGGCCCTTCATAATCTGACCTTTACATGAATTCCCAGTACCTTTCCACAGATGCCCGCTGCCCACACTTCCCACTCGTGCTATCAACGCTCAGTTCCCTGCACACACACAACTCTCCGCCCGCTAAGACTCTGCGCACACTGCCAGGGACGCTGGGGAGTTCCTTTCCTGTCCCCCGCTTCTTGGGACCCCTTCTCAGCTCCTAAGTCTGGAGCAGGTGTCCCTGCTGTGTGTTTCCACAGGACCCCGCACTTGCCTTTCACAGCCCTTATCACGCTGGACTGCAGCTAGCTGCTTGTGTTTCTAAATACGCATCTTACTCACCACCGAATTCACAGTGTCTGACACCCACACGGTAGGTGCTCAGTGGTTTCTGTCTAATGCGTAAGTAAACGATGAGGAAAGGAACTAGTGAGTGAAACAAGGCTAGAGAGAAGGGGGAAGGTCATATTGATTTATGTAAAAATAGCTTCATTGAGATATAATTCACCCTTGTACAGTATACAACTGCGTTATTTTTAGTTATTTATTTCTGGACCAGCCAAATTGAAAGGTAACATAGTTACAGGGAAAGATACTGAATTGAAAAAGTTTTTTACATTTTGGTCAGTTTATTCTGACTTTATTAAAAGTTCTATTGTTATAAGAATACAAAATATTATTGTAAATATATTATTTAAAGGCAGTAACTTAACATTTAAAAGATATAAAGATGCCATAGGCATGAAACACACATTTTTAAAAAAAATTTTTAGAGAGAGTGAGGATGGGGGAGGAAAAGAGAAAGGGAGAGAAATATTGATCTGAATTGTTTCAGTTCTTCATGCCTTCTTTGGTTGATCCTCACATGTGCCCTGATGGAGGTTGAACCCGAGACCTTGGTGTATCAGGACGATGCTCTAACCAGCTGAGCTACCCGGCCAGGGCTGAAGCACAGATTTTTACTGTGAATCATGAATGCATGTTCCTCTCTTCATTTCAGCACTTACCTGGAGTGATCTGTAATGTACAAATCCTCGCTTGTTGCACACAACATCCCTTGTGTCTGTGTGAGTTTCTATGTGGGCCTGGGAGTATCTGTATGTGGTTAGGCTGTTTCCTGTACGCAGGGGTGAGGGGTTGTAGGTCGGGGTTTCGAATGCTGTTAGCATTGCCTTCTTTTTCAGGAAGTACACCCAAAACTTTACTCAACAGGAACAAGGAGCTTGGTTGTATCTGCCTTCTCCAGATGCAGCTGGTCACGCCACAGACAGTAAAGAACGAGCTGTGGGTGATGACAGGGGTCTGCGGAACGGCCCCGTCTACTGGAACCACCCACCACGTACTCACTGGGCCGGGCCCTGCACGATGGGGGACACGGGGGGCCTCAGCCATGGTTTCTCGGCACCAAGAGACCTGGGGGAGTCCAGGGGCGTCAGGCACGAACACGTGGACGCGAACAGCATCTGACACAATGGAGCTGATGTGGCGGAGGACAACGGCTTCCGAGTGGCTGTTCCAGACGGTGACCTTGTGTTCCTGACCAGAAATCATGACGGGGGCACAGCATCTGCCCGGGGACAGTCTTGGGAGATCCAGGACCCGCGACTGCTGAGGACGCTGGCCCTGGGTGTCGGGCACCGGGAGGCCAGCGAAGGGGTTTGGGAAAGGTCTTCCTTCCGCAGAGGAGCCAAGATGACAGACTGGGCCTGGGTGGGCATAGAAGAGGCCACGCCGGGTCCCGGGGAATGTGTAGCTCGTCCCTGAGAGGAGGGGACTGTGGCGGAGGACAAGGGCAGGGACGGGTCTGCGGAGAAGAGCCGTATTAATCAGGACCAGATTAAGGAGGGCCACACAGAAGCTTGGACGGAACTATGGTTCCTTGGGAAGAGACAAGGATTTCCTGTATCGGCCCCAGAAATGGTAGGAAGTGTGGGGGGGGGGGCAGGGGGCAGCAGAGAGGAGCTCTACAGAGACGTGCGTGGCACCAGGAAGGGCCGAGGCCCAGAGAGGCCGTCGTGAATGATGACGAGGGATGAGCTGGCGTCTGAGTGATGGGGGACCAGGGACACTGCCAGAGGAAAGTTAAGGGGAAAGGGCTCTGCATGGAGGCAGAGTGGACAGGGGTGAGGATGGCCTGGAGCCGCCCACGAGGACCATATAGCAGACGAGGAAGGGGTAGCGGAGCACTGCCTCAGCCTGCCCTCACAGGGCTCCGTGTCCTTCTGCCTCTGGGCGCCGGGACCCAGGGGTCTGCCCAGGCCGCAGGGAGGGGGACGCGAGCAGGACGGAGAGAGCCGGGGAGGACGAGGACACTGAGTGCAGCTCCGAGACCACCGCAGGGAGGGCAGGGGCAGGGAAGACGCCCCGTCAGAGAAGTTCTGGGGTGAAGAAGGAAGCTCGAGGAATTCGTAACAGCCTCCGTTCTCAGCAAAGTGGCGGCAGACCCAGGAATAAGGCGTGTGGGGGAGACTTCAGGCCGCTTGCCGGGAGGTTCACTAGAGGTGACGGTGAGACAGAGGTCCGGCAGAGGAAGGGTCTCTGCCTATGCAGGCAGGGCCTGAGCGAGCGACAGCCACCGTGATTTATGGAGAAAACAGATGGGAAGACTCACCAAATGGCTCTACCAAGTCATGAGTCTGACAGAAGGGCAAGAAGCTGGCGGACTTCAAGGGGCTCAGCAACTGCCTCTAGGTTGCAGTGTGGATAAGAGGGAGGTGAACTAAGTCAGAAGCAGAAATCGGGGTCGCAGGACTAGACGTCTAATGGACGCACAAGCAGGGATGCTGGCAGGGATGCTGGCAGGGAGGGGGTGGACGGCTGGGAAGGGCAGGAGAAGCTGTCAGCGGGGCAGACTCCGGGGTCTGAGACCCCCGGGCAGTGAGTCGGGGCGGAGGAGTCAGAGGAGTCGTGAGAACGGGCTCCAGGTGCAGGGAAGACACAGATGTGGGTGTCACTGAGCATGACAAAAGTGAAGGACCCTGTGAGACATGCACTAACGTCCTGGAGGCCGGGGATGTTTGTGGAAGGGCCCTGGTTGTCCACAATGACATCTGTCTCACTTGAGAAGGGTACCTGTCTGAACGCACGCACACTCGGGTGCTTCGGTTCCTCTTCAGAAGTCTTGCGCCTTATAGATGGCGCAGTCACTCCCGAGGTCCCACTCCATCCTCCTGAAGAAGTAGACCATGGTGCTCTCCATCAGTAAGCCGCACAGGATGGCGCAGAGGGACAGCTTGCGGGTGCTGTTTAGTGTCACTGGAGGAGAAGAGGCAGCTGGTAAGGTCTTTGGAGCTTAAGTCCGTGACATTGACATTGTTAAGTGATATCTAAATTAAGTGGTAGGAATGGGATTGCTTTGTAAAGCTGTTTTTAGAAAATCTCTATTTGTCCCTACTGATCTGTGCAGCAACCTCCTCCCACCTTCCCCACGGCACACCTTTGGAGAGAACCAAAGCGTCTGCACGTAACACAGACACTCCCGGAATCAAGGCAGATTCCCATTACTATGAAGAGGAAAGATGAAATATAGACTCTAAGATCATAGAGAGAATAGCAGAAAAACCCAGTACTCCTAGTTTTACAGCTGACTAGACAACAGCATTATGATACAAAGTATCAGCTCACAGCTCATTTACAGTGGCGCCTCTCCCAAGGTGTGGGAAAACGCAGGCACACGAGGGCCCCTCTCTTCCCTGGTGCGGTGGCACCCACCCTGGCTTGGCGACGCTGACCACATGAATTTGGACGAACCGTTGATGAAGTGGAGGTGACAATGGCTGTCCTGCCAACTCCACAGGACAGAGACGATGCATGGGAAAACATTTGAAAATGACATAGTAGCATGTGGTTAAACTGAGAAAATACGAACCACGCCATGTATAAAGCACTGCAGAAATGTCAGGCATTGCCACTGTTCTGCGGAGACTGACAGTGGTTAACTGGTTACATAAAACCTGTGATCTGGAACGAAGGCTACAAGCGTTCACGTGTGTGGAGAGCCGAGAGGACAGAGTAAAGCAGGAACGCACCTCTGATCGCCTGGAAGTTCGAGGTGAGGACGAAGACTTTAATGAACCTCAGGCACAGCAGTGTGTACTCATGCTCCCAGATGACCGCGGGGATCAGCAAGAGCTTTCCGTAGCTCGACAACAGTAAGGCTTTCAGCAGCAAGACAAAGTTGGGTTTTTTTTTGGTTGTGATGGATCGTTCTATCCACAGGAAAGTGAAAATGCCAATTAAAAAGGCAGCTTGTTCTAAGAAGGAAATGGGAAATAAAAATAATAAGAATGTCCCTATCCAAAAATACCACAGCCCCATCAAAACGAATAGACCACAACCCAAGACGCAACGTGTCAGCTGGCCTCATTCAACGCTTCATCAAGATCAGATTTTTTTCTCTTCCTCCTCCTTTTTTTTTCCCCCTTTTGTGTCAAATCCTTCTAGTATAATTTCAGGAACATATTTCAACTACTCCTTCATGAAGTATTTCACCATCCACTGAAGAAAAGGTAACTCCGCCCAGACTGCAATTATCAATTTTCTGAAGTTCCTTCTGGAAGTGGGATTCTGCTGGACCATCCTGAGTGCTCGGTCCCCACTTCCCCGCAGGGGAGAATGAACAGAGGAGTGGAGGGTTTTAAATCTGTAAGATGGGCCCATCCTCAGAATTACGAAGGAAGACATTGTCCTTATTCATTCTTCCACTATGTATTGAGTGCCTGGTACCCACAAGGTTTCGAGTGCTCTGTCACCCACACGGAAAGCTTCCCTTCGTGATTTTAGCCAACTTTGAGTTCAATTCCTTATCTTTCCAGGAAGTATTCACACACAGAGGCCATAAAGCAGTGAACCTTTAGAAATTTTGAGAAGCTTTGCTTTAAAGCTTAACATTATATTAGGTTCTAGTTCCTGGCTAATGTGATATGTTTAAGGATATTTTTAGTGCTACTGTGTACATTGGGAATTCTCAGCATATAGATGAATTTTAAAACCTCGGAGCTGGACGAGAGGATCAAGGGAGTGACAGCAGATAGAGAAAAAAAGGAGGACAAAAGAGGACATGTGGTCCAGAAAGATGACACTGGAGTGGATGACAATGTTTCCTAATCACAGAATGTTAGAAGCAGAGAGGCATGGAAACCAGTAAGTAATAAAATAGTCACAGAAATTAATGCAACACAATTCTGGCCTGAGTCACAAGTTCAAGTTCTGAAGCACAGCAATTCCTGAACGTACGACTTCTCTTTACATTGTATTAGTACATGATACTGGGTAATGCCTGGCAATTACCAATCTGTCTTAGTAACAATGGGGCCCAGGTCATTTTCAAACTGGAAAATTATACTTATATTTAAGGATTTTATCAACAATATTATGTCTCAGAGTACTCTTTAAACTGATAATATCCATCTGATGGATAAAGACCATTTACTCATGGTATTTCCATACCACAGGTGTGGTAACAAATAAAAAGTAAGAAAGCAGATAATTTGAACAAACTCACTTAGTAGGTTAGTGGTAGAACTGAAAATTAAGTCTCAAGTCCTATACTAACTAGCTCCTCTTACCACGCACCTTACTTTGAATCACAGGAACAAGTGCCAGTTAACTAAGAGCAGAGAAAGCAGGGCTGATGTTCCTACCTAGAGAAGCAATTGCAAACATTCTGTAGAAATCCCACTCCTTAGCATATCTGATGAAGTCATCGGGATCAGTGTTCTGGCTTGAATCTTGAAGCTGCCACCACCTCAGATAGGCTTCACAAAGCAAACAAAATATGCAGAGTTTTCCGTGCATCTGGTAGTCAGAAAGACAGTGCCATTCATTAGGTAAACAAGAATTAATTGTACTGAATACCAATAGGTACAGACACAGTATGTACAGTATTTGTGGTTTTGAAAAATGTCCTATCTAGCCCTGGCTGGTGTGACTCAGTGGTTGAGTGCTGGCCTGCAAATAAAAGGGTTGCCGGTTCGATTCCCAGTCAGGGCACATGCCTGGGTTCCAGGCCAGATACCCAGTAGGGGGCATGCAAGAGGCAACCACACATTGATGTTTCTCTCCCTCTCTTTCTCCTTCCCTTCCCCTCTCTAAAAAATAAGCAAAATCTTAAAAAGAAAAGAAAAGAAAAATGTTCTACCTGGTAGTTTTTCAAATCCTGAAATTCCCAGTGAAGTGCGTATTTGTATTCAGTCTGTAAGCCAGTGGTTCTTAATTAACAATGTCTTCACCAGAATCACATGCAGAGATTTTTTCAAATACTAACAATGTCTGGGCCCCAGTCCCGACTCAGAGTCTTTGGGAGTACGTTCTAGACATGCATACTTTGAAACAGTTCTGGAGGGAGGGGGGGATTTCAATGTGCACCCCTAGTTAAGAATCACAGCTTTAAATAGAAGTGCACCCTTCATTAAATTTTCAGCACTGGTCTTATAGACACAAACAAGCATGGAATTTATGTTACTTGTGGGTAGGTGGAAGTAGCGAAAAGAAGATTTAATCTGAAGATTCGATGATACTGCATAAGAAACTGTTAGTCTGACCGTGGATTTTTTAAAAAAAAATGTCCCTAGGCTGGATGAGTCTAAAATAATATATTGGAAGACAGCAAGTGAAAGGTGCAAATCAGCTGGAAATTCTAAAGGGTATAAAATTTTAGCAAAACACAAACGACTAGGCAATGAGAATTTTTTCTTTCTGTTTCTCTCTGGGCTGAACTTTATTACGACAGACTGCAACCGGTGTGTGCAAGCCCACGCAGCTGGGACTGGGGCTCCAGCTGACGCCCTGGCTCTCCTGGCTGCGCTGTGGAACCACCTGGGAGCTGGGCGGAATACGGACGCCTGGACCCCATCCCCAGAGACTCTGATTTCCTTGGTTTGGGGTGGGGCTCTGACTTGGAAGGATTAACCATGGCCCCCACCCTCCCTCCCAGTCATTCTGATGTGTAGTGAAGTTCGAGAATCAATGCTCTAGTAGTTTAAAACTGCCCTGGTTTCTTAACTTGGGGAGGGCCACAGGAATGAGTAAGTTTCACTGTTACTGTCCATGTTGGGGTTACCCAAACTCAGGGTGGCCAGATTTAGCAAGTGAAAATGCAGAACACCCAACTGTGAGTTTCAGATAAACAACAAATTTTTTTTATATGTATGTTCCATGCAATATTAGGGACATATACTAAAAATCACTTGTTTATCTGATTTTCAAATTTAATTGGGTGTCCTGTATTTTATCTGTCAGTCCAACCCAAACTTTTAAAGATTTCACAATTCAATACACTAAATATATATTTTGATAAATCCAACTTTATAAATTAGGACTTCTCTGATTAAGTTCAGTGTTGTTATTCACCTCATATATTCCTTTAAGAGTAGAGTATAAAATGCAATAATAATAATAATAATAAATAAAAATAAAAATAATAGTAAATAATAATAATATTTTATTTTAAAATATCTTTGAATGTTTGATTATTTCTTACAGGTGTAATTCTCTCCCTACCTGAACATATTTAACTTTATTGTTAAAAATAATTAGTGTCAGTTTCAAAAGGTAACCTATGAGAAGGCAATTCAGATTATGGTTTGTCAGTTTGTCAAAGACCACATTCTTAAACAGTCACTAAACACAGCGTACTTAAAAAAAAAAACCCAATGCTTATTTCTAGAAATTTCTACACATTGTCAAATAAAACCCCACCCTCATTAGGATTTCTTTTTTAGTGAGCTGTTTTTTAATTCTGTTCAAGGTGAGTATTATGCTTCTAAAATGCAAAAGCATCATCAAGTAAAATTAGGAAAGAACAAAATGATCACAACTCACGTTGATTTTCGTGTTGAAAAGAATATGCCTGTAGGCCTGTGCTTTGCACAAAACAGCATTAATCAGAATGATAACAGGATCATACTCGATGTATTTGTCCACAGGTTTCTGGCAGGATTTCTGAAACAATGCAAAATAACATTAGAACAAGCAAATTCACACATTCTGAAATCCTAAAGGACTTCAAAACAGCAGTTTCTTTTGGACTCGTATGGTATTTTACTTAACCTTCTATTCAGATACAAACTGTTCATCTATTCAAGACTTGGTTTCAGAATATAATCTTCTAGACTAGAAATAGTAATCTTTTAATCACATATTAAGCTAAAAAGATATTGGATTTAAGACAGATTTTAGCAGAAAAGTATCCCAGAAAAATTGTACTCTCAACTTGTAGGAACTGTTTAAAGTACAATGTACTTTCCTTGATAAACTGTTGCCTGTTGGCCAGAAGGCCCCCAGCTTTGTGGTTCTTGAAACATGGTTTGGAGAAAAGGGTTCAGAAAAGTAACCCTGTGCCCAGAGCTTCTGAGGGCTACAAGTGGGTAAAGAATGTGGCACAGGGCCAGCAACGCTGGGATGGCAGACAGCAAGAGAAGCCTGTTTTTCCTCTGATAACACTGAGAATACGTCTCTGCTACAGGAGACACACTGGAGAGCGCTGGGCTCCGTGGACAGAGCTGGGTTGTGCAGCCGGGTTCTAGGATATCCAAACGAAGGCTTCCTGGGCTCAGCAAATCCTATCAAACATGTGTGTTGTGGATACATTTAACCAGGGCTGACATTTTTCCAAGCCAGGGGAAACCACTTGTGAGAGGAACAAATTGAGGGTGCATGCACCTGAGTGATTATACCAACTGACAATAAATAGGTACACATTCACACTTTGTCTATCTCTTGTATATAACTACAGGGCTATTTTCGCCCTGATCACCAGAAGATCAGAAACGGGACAAGAACTTACTGACCACCTCTTATGGGACAGGTTCTTTGCTAACGCCTCCAATTTTGTGACTTTTTAAACATAAGGTTACTCTCTATAACTAGACTACGAACACCTTGAGGGCAGAAATTTTACTTATTTTTGGTTTTTATATTCCATTGTCTACATAGTGCTTTGGACGCAATACTGTACATTCAATAACCACAATGGACGAAACCTGAAAAGAAAGTATTTTATGAGAATTTAATATGGATTATGGCGTGTAAGAATGGTAACATTTGTCCACCAAGGGGAGAATATCTAAAAATGAAATAGCTTTGGTGTGAACCCAAATGTCAACCTAATCCGATGTTTCGATTTCTCTGCACAACACCCACATCCATCTCCGCCCGTGGATCCGTTCACAGAGTTAGGTCTCACCAGCAAACAGGACCAACAGGAGAAAGGTAGTGAGTTCTCTGTCACTACAGGTGTTCATGTGAAGGTTTGACAGGCCTAGGACGGGTCTGCCAAGCATCCATTTGAAGATTGGATTAGAAGACCCTGAAACTCGATTTTTATCATCCTAAAAAGCTGGGAGAGATTGGTCCCCAAATCTCGCCACGCCATTTTCTTTCCAAGGACACCCCACATCTGGCAACTCACGCAGATGGTTATCTTCAGCACGCCGTGGTTATAGTCTCGGTACAACTCCTTGGCCTCTTGGTTGCATTCAATACACCTGTACTGACAGGTGGACGAGGTAGCGGCAGCAGGAGTCGCTGACACCTCTTCGGTGTTCCCCTTTCTCGCAGTCACCCCCTCCCGCTTCCCCTTGCGGGGCCGTAGCCCACCCCGCCCACCAGTGTCCATTTCTACGCCACTGAGGCCCAGAACTTCCGACTCAGTGTGAGAGAAGACGTCAGACGCCAGACCGGAAAGTCTGCGCCGCCCGGTGCTTGCTGGAATTCGTAGTCCCAATACCGAAAAGGGCCCCAAGGCTGGGCCAGCAAGGACTACAACTCCCAAGAGGCAATGCTGTTTTTCTCTCTCCGCCCCTTTTACACGGCCCACCTGTCAGCCGCGGGTTAAGTCTGGGAGGCCGCTGCGCGCGGCCAGGGCCGTGGCACATGCGCTTTAAGGAAAGATGGCACCTGCCGGCTGCTGTTGCTGCTGCTACTGCTGCTGCTGCTGTTGGGGCGGCGCTGTGGCCGCCGCGGGCGCAGCTCGGCGCGTCCTGGTGCTGCTGCTGCTGGGGGTCCTGCCCTCGGGGCCGCACCTGGGCGCCCTGGCCACCGAGCACTACACGCCGCTGTCCTTGCTCAAGCAGGAGCTGCAGCACCGGCAGCAGCAGGAGGCCCCGACGGGCGGCGGCTGCAGCCCGCATACTGGGGACTGGGGGGACCAGTACTCGGCCGAGTGCGGCGGTGAGTGGGCAGTGGCGGCGGCGGGCGGGAGTCCCGGTCGCTGCGGGGCCGGCGGGGCCGTGGGGGCTGCGGGCCCCGGGGCCGACGTGCGGGCCGCCCGGACTCCTCCAACCCCGGCCGCTGCGTGTGCTCCTGCGCGAGCCGGCTCCGGGAGGTGCCCCGCCGCTCGCACCCTCGCCGCTGCGCGCCCTCCTCCCATAGCTGCCCTGGGGAAGGCGGTGAGTAAAGAGCTGGCAGCGTGCTCTCGGGGCCAGGGTGGCCTTCCCAGAGTTCTAGCAGTTGTTGAAAGGGTGGTGGAGGAGTTGGCAGTAGCCGGGGCAGACCCTGTTCCAACCCGTCCCCCGCGGCTGCCTGGGAACCATGGAGGCGCTGAGGGACAGCAGAGGATGCGCCCGGAGCAGGGATACTTGGCCCCTGCTAAGCCTGGAAATCCGGTTTCCTGGCTTCCCGGGCTGATTGATGGCTTGTATTAAATACAGCCTCTGAAAATTCCATCCCTGGAAGAAAGAAGGGAACGAAAGAGCAAGCCCGTTTTATCTGCTCGTTGATACCTTGTTTCTGGTTAAGATTGACCTGCGACCTGTCAGGTGTTTCCCAGAAGGTAAAAAGGGCCCCGCAGGCCTTGAGCCTCAAGTAAGTGCCAGAGCTGTGTGGGTGGTGGAACTGGCCAGCTCATTCACTGGGCGCTGCTGGCCTCAGTTTAGTAAGTCACGACAGACGCATGGGGGCAAAATACGTGTGTATGTTTCTGTTTTGAAGTTCTATAGTGGGAGTTTTCACCCACTCGCTTTCCACCTAACTCACTTTTATGGCCCTGCAGCAGTGTTCTGTAGCATTATGCACCTGGACGAGAAGAGTATTTTTTACTTGAGATGAGATGTCAGGATTAGCACACTCTGTCTGATTTCCTTTTAGCACAGTCTGACTTCCTTGAGGAAGTCTCACTCACAGAGAGGTATGTGACTTATTGTGTAGCAGGGCCAGCATTGTATAGTGGAAAAAGAATGGCTTTCACTTTGGTCACTTTCAGTGTCTCTCAACAAGTTAATTGCCTGTCTTTGCCAAAGTGCCTCCTCTGTAGATTGAAAACACTATTACCTAATTACTGGCTTCTCTTTTCTTCCCAAGAGTTCTGTGAGGAAAATGAGAAGTAGCAAACACAGATTAAGTGCTTGCTGTGTGCCCCATGCTGTCATTAAGAGCTTGAGGTCGATTAGCCTCTGCTCTTAGCCTATCAGAACACCTGTAACTACCTCACTGAATGGTAGCTCCTTGTCTCAGATCAAATCCGGGTCCAGTGAAGTCATCACTTTGCTGAGGTCCCACAGCCGTTGACAGGAGAAGCCCAGGTGGTCAGGCTCCAGATAAAACTCTGTCTAAACGCTAAGTGGCTGTAGCCAGGAAAGCACATCTGTAGTCTTTACTGGCACATGGTATGTATTCTATACATCTTCGTTTCCGCTTCCCTCCTATAGTCATGTGACACTCACTGGCTGCAGGAGACCCAGATGCTAGGCCATGGAAGACACAAATCACTTTGCATTGTGAAAGCAATCGATATTATTGGCCCAGGTGGGTCATTTCGCTCTGTGGCATCAGGCTTATGCCAGTGGTGTGCCTCTGACCTGTGTTATAGTCTCCCCACAAATGAAGACAGATGTCAGTTATCACAGACTGGGCATTGGGAGAAAGCATCCTGCCCATTCTCTAGTCCCCTCGCATGTGGAGACCATGACCTAATGTTCTCTGCGTTAGAGGAAGAACACTGCACTATGAGGCTCTAAGCATAATTTATTTTAGTGCTTCCACTTTCTTTTCATCTCTCCCATGTAGTACTCCTTCTCTTAGCTTGGAATTTAAAATGTGCCTTTGCAGTGAGCGGCCCGAGTCTTTCAGACAACTTACCTGGCTGACAGGAATGGCCCGTGACTACTGGCAGGTGCGGAAGTGGCTTTGCCACGGTCATCGTCAGCCTTGGTGAATAGTTTCTAGAGTCACCTGCTCATGCTGCTTGGACCTCCGACTGTTTTCCTTGGCTTTACTGGCCGTAGTGTGTGAGCATGTGCTGGAGACTCCTGGAACGTCTCGTTTCTCCCTCCTTATCCTGGACAAGCAGGGAGAAGCTGGACCCCCGACACCTGCTGTAGCCCCTCTCTTTCCTAAGAACAGAAGTAGGATTTACAGGATTTACAGGATTTACAACTACCCGCCCACCTGGGATCGACATAAGGGTCCAGGTTAGTGCCAGGATCCAGAACTACTCAGTTCTTCAGCATCAGACAGACCTGACCTCATAACCACTGTAATGCCATTGGCACTTGCTGGTCCGTGTGTCCACACACCTGCCTCTGTCCACCGGTCCCTATCCAGAGGGCAGACACGGTAGCACAGCCACTTTCAGAAGCCTTCCTACTGCTTCAGATTCAGTGGGGAGAGTCGATGCCTGCTTGGGTCTAAACCTGAGCGCTGCTGCTGGGCTGTCTACGTCTTGTCTGAAGACAGAGCCCCAGTGATTGTAGGGCCTGAGACAATGGCCAGTGGGAGCCCATCTGAATAGCGCACTGGCCGTGGCCGAGCTGTGCGGACCGCCAGCAAGTGGGGCCCAGGCCCAGGGGGCAGCTGGACGTCATTGGGCTGAGCCCCACGGAGGTCCAGCTGCAGAGACAGCGAGTGTGGATGGTGGCCGTGCTGTGGTCTGGCTGCTCCCAGGCCCCGTGCTTGGTGTCCTCCGGCACATTTTAACACTGCTTTTCACTTACAAAGCACATATAACCACGAACTTCTGACTGCCTCTCTGTCTTCCTATGGTTCAAAATAACTTCACTCTTAAAAGAAATAAAAGAACACTGTCATGTACATATTTTCCTTGTTACTTTTGCCCTGTTAATAGTTTGGAATTGAGAGAAGAAATAATGAACAGATGTTTTCGACTTGTAAACACTATGTACATTCTTATTTAATCCGAACAACTCTGAAGTAGGTATGTTTTTATCTCTGTTTTATCTGAGAGGAATCTGAGGCAAAGAGAAGTTAGGAGAGGTTGTGCGGTGGAGTAGGGCCAGGATTTGAACCTGGCCTCCCAACTGTGACTTACCTCTGTAGTATTATTTGCATATTAGTAACATTTCTTACTGACTTTAGTATAAAGTCCTACACCTTGACACCTTGTTTGTTGAAGGTTATATTCTTAAATAACATCTAGAACTTCATATTTACATATATGAAAGACTGCTTCACTGACCCTGATATTTTGACTTCTGGAGGTAGACTAGACCCGTTCTGTCACTGAAAGGCTGCTGTGTGCACAAGATGCCACCCAGTGTTCTAAGGCCTCGGGGACACAGCACAGCTGGCTGAGGTCCTGCAGTGCAGCCTGTGCTCTGGTCCGGGGAGAAGGTGCTTCCAGGCCTGGTGATTAGTGACCCTGAAGAATAGAGAGCATTGTAGGGTGCTGCTTTGAGAGGTGGCCAGGGAAGGCCGGTGGTGAGATGACATGGGCAGGGACTTGGGAACAGTGAGATTCAGAGAGGTCTTAGCGGAATCTGAATTTACACGCTGATGTTACAAAGCTGATATATGAATGTCGAATTGTTTCTACAACAACAGCAAAAACTTCTGCTTTTCTTCTTTGAAAAGTACTCACAAGAACAGTGAATTTTTGTGATTATTTTTTCCTTTCACTGCCTCCTTGAGACTTTTTTGGTCTGCTCCCATGAGGTAGTCTTATACTTTGCTATAGTTTTCAAATAACCACCTTGTAACTGGTTATTCATGCCTAAAACCTCAATCAAGTCCGGTAATTTACAACCTGAAGTCATTTTCTTTAGTTTGTTGAAATTAATGACCCCAGATTTGAGTTCGTTTCCCCATAGTTCTTCATGGGGGAAAGAGCGTTAATGTCTCTCTGCCTAATTGGGGAGTTAACTCTAGAAAAATAGGGAAGTAACTAGCAATCTAGCTCTGTGTTTTTGACAGTCATTAAGACTTTAAAGATTGTCAATATTTGGTATCTTAATTGAGGAGTCAGGCATTTAAATACCATATTTTGCCATGTATAATGTGCACTTTTTGGCCCAAATTTTTGAGGGAAAAAGAAGGATGCATATCATACATAGGTAGTATTAAATTAATAAAAGTTCAAACAAAAGATTTTTTTTCCTGAAAGTTTGGGCCAAAAACGTGGGTGCACGTTATACGCGGCATAATCTGGTAAAGTAAATCGGTCTTATTGCTCACAGCATTTAAATCACTGCTGTGCCTTAGAGGTGAGAAGGAACCCATAAAGGGGAACTTTTATAATGAGAGCTGTTTCCGTTTTTGTTCCGGCTACAGGAAGTTAGCCGAATTTTACACTCAGTCACGGCAACTGTGGTAACCCTTCCTGGTAGTATTATTTTCTCAATCCTTTTTTGCCTTGGCCCTGATTTTCTGTTTGTTATCACACATGGTTTTGTGACAGATCTAATCTCTTTAAAGGCACGCACGAGCAAGTTTGCCTGTGTAAGGCTGAGACGCGGGCTGATGCAGAGGTTCAGATGGTGTCCTCTTGCCCAGCTCTGGCCTGAGGGTGTCTGCCTTTCTTTGCTAACCGAGCAGCATCTTTCAGCAAGTCCTACGGTTGGGGAGTTGCTTTCTGTCGCGTGAGCCTGAGAAGATGCTAGTCCGTGGTATTTGCACACTCATTAGCGCTTTTTAAAAAGATTTTATTTATTTATTTTTAGAGAGGGAAGGGAGGGAGAAAGAGAGATAGAGAGAGAAACATCAATATGTAGTTGCTGGGGCCCGTGGTCTGCAACCCAGGCACATGCCCTGACTGGGAATCGAACCTGCGACGCTTTGGTTCGCAGCCCGCGCTCAATCCACTGAGCTATGCCAGCCAGGGCTGAAGTAGTAGAATTTTAATACTCTTCATTTTGGATTAATCCCTTCTGCTGTTTTTCTTCTGTTATCTTTTTTATTTTTACTGTTTATTGAAATATGACATATGCAGAAAAATGCAT